CCTACAGGAAATGAATCAAATTGCCACGGCACTCACATCGGTCGGCCAAACTGAAACTGCCGTTCGAATTCGACAGCAAATTGAGGTACTTACTTTGCCGCTTTGATCGACTGTAGCAGCAGCGTCGAAGCAACTGGCAGCCTCTGTTCAGTTGAAGCTGTATCAGCTGCTCGGCCACGAATTGACCTCGGCATCTGTTTCTCTGTATCTTTTTCCGGAAAAAAAATGCAGGATGTTTTACATGCCTCTGTCACATCTTTGAATTTCCGCTTTATTCGAACGCGATATTCGAGAAAAAATTTGGATTATGAATCATTCATGTAGAAATTTTTAAGATTATTAAACTCTATTTATAGTAATATCCGAGGTTAAAATTGAAGGCTGTTACGTGGTCCTGGACGTTTTATTTAAAACTTATTTCAATTTAATGGCGATCTTTTTTTAAAATTTTGATCACTATCTTCTTTTCAAACAGCAAATCATGGATTTCCAGGATTTGAACGCGAGATGGCGCGCTTTGGAAGAACAAACGGAGCAGCGTGAGCAGCAGCTCGGCTCGGCGCATGAAGTGCAGCGATTCCACCGTGATGTGGACGAAACCAAAGACTGGATCATGGAGAAAGATGAAGCACTGGATTCCGAAGATTTCGGTCGTGATTTACGATCCGTTCAAGCGTTGCAGAGAAAGCATGAAGGCGTTGAACGCGATCTTGCTGCGCTTGGCGACAAGGTTAGCCAGTATCGCTGGTTTTTTATCTGAGCGTTATGCCTGGAGCAGGAATTTGACCGTACGGCCCTCGCTCTTCTGCCCGTCCACCATTTTCGTTTCTTTGGTGCTTTGTATCGCTTTTTACCGTATTTCCCAAACAGTGTGCTTCACGAGCATCAGTCAAGAAAGAGCTCACTAGCTGACTTTCTGTGTCATTAGTTTTGTTTTTCGGACAAGCCTGGCGGTGAAGCAAAATGAGTGACAACCTTTGTTACGAAGACGTTACGATGATGTTACGACGAGCTTCGGTCGAGATTTGGATGAAGGCGCTTAGTGGAGGGAGACTGGAGTAAGCAGACGAACTTTATCAACACTGATACAAGTTTACAAGTGAGTTATTGGGGCGACGGGATCGAGTCGGACGATTGCAGCGACAGCCAC